CAGCTGGATCTTCTTTCTTCTGATTCTTTCTCTTCTCTGATCTTCTCTCTTCTACTCCTCTCTTCTCTCTGACTCTTCCCGTCTCTTCTTTTCATCTCTCCATATTGTCGGAAATTGACTTCTAAACTTCCTTCGATAATGCACATATACAATCATATTTATATTGTACAATCAATGATTCTTTGGTATTAATGTCAATATCTATACGTATCTTGAACTGATATTTACATAGTGACTGACGACACAGATGTACTGCAGGGTCTTTGGAAGTTGCCGAAATGGTGCAAGAATGGTTAACGTTTTGGACTCGAGCAAGTGACCGGAGGAAGGAGAAACAACATCTGGATATTGTTCCAAGCTGTGGATAGTGGACATGTACACACGCACCACGCATAAGATGGAAAGAATTGAAAAAACAAAGTAGCGAATTCATTACTGATTGCTGGATATTACTGTGCCATACTGGGCCATACTGGGTCAAAGCCACATGCGTAGAATCCCCAAATCAAACAGTGGCTACTTCGCCGCTATGGACCATGGGAACCCAGAAAAACAACGAATCAAGTGACTTTTGCCCGGGTTCCAGGACAAGGAGGTTGAAAAGGCATCTCTGTTGCAGAGGCCGGGACAACTAAACAGTGGTGTGATCCATGGTGCTCTGTTCCAGCGCACTCGGCGTCTAAAGTGGAATTAGTATAAATTAATTGAATGATCATCAGCCATAATAGGCTTTTGTTTGAGTGCTAGTAGATGCTAGTAGTATCGGATTGTGATCATCAAAGATTGTTTTTCCCATGCTGCGCTATCTTTGGGTCACTAACAGGTACTAACAGCATCTGCAGTTCGTGAGGTCCAGGTCTTCTTGGGCGTGTACTTGGGGCTCATGATGGATATAACTAATGGCAGTAACTTTCATAGGTTGGGATATAATCCCTGCAACCATTGTTTTTAATGTTATACATATTTATGTATGTATGTATGTATGTATCTATGTATCTATGTATCTATATATGTATGTATGTATGTATGTATCTATGTATGTATGTATGTATGTATCTATGTATCTATGAATCTATGTATCTATGTATCTATGTATGTATGTATGTATGTATGTAATCCTTTCCTCCTCATACTAAACCCCCCCCCCTAATAATAAACACGGCAGGTAGTTTTTAGTATTAGGGTTGTATTTATATTTACTATTAGGGAACCCTATTAATAAAATTAAATTCTTAATCATAAAAACTATGTTTTTCCGATCTCAAAATCAATTAAACTTCTTTATATAGCGCGATGAAAATATTGCCAAAAATTGGATTTCGAAGCTTCCCCCCCTAATATTAACATATTGTTTCCGATATTAAATTTCTTTAAATAACGCGATGAAAATATTGCCGAAATTTGGATTTCGAAGCTTCCCCCTAATATTAAATTAAAACATATTAAAACCCTTAATAATAAAAACTATTTTTCCGATCTCAAAATTAATAAGAATTCTTTATATGTCGCAATTAAAATACTGCCAAAATTTGGATTTCGAAGCTTCCCCCTAATATTAAAATAAAACCCTTAATAATAAAAACTATTTTTTCCGATTTCAAAATCAATTAAACTTCTTTATATAACGCAATAAACATATTGCCAAAAATTGGATGTCGAAGCTTCCCCCCAAAATTAAAATAAAACCCTTAATAATAAAAACTATTTTTTCCGATCTCAAAATCAGTTTGAACCAGTTTTTAGTATTAGGGGTGAAAATCCACAAATGGTAGGTTGATTTTTAAATCAATTAAAAATCAAATTGGCCAATCTATTTTTTTTGAAATTGGAGATGGACGCCTGTTTTTAGTATTTGGTGGATGTTAGTATTAGGAGGAAGGGATTTTGTATGTATAATTACATTAATTACATTAATTACATTAATTACATTAACTACAGTAATTACATTAATTACATACATTACATACATTACATACATTACATACATACATACATTACATTACATTACCTTACCTTACCTTACATTACATTACATACATACATACATACTATCTATGTATGTATGTATGTAATGTATGTATGTATGTATGTATGTATGCATGTATGTATGTATGTATGTATGTAATGAATGTAATTAATGTAATTACTGTAGTTAATGTAAGTATGTAATTAATGTAATTAATGTAATTACTGTAGTTAATGTAATTAATTAGTGTATGTATGTATGTATGTATGTATCTATGTATATATGTATGTATGTATGTATGCATGTATGCATGCATGTATGCATGTATGTATGTATGTATGTATGTATGTATGTATGTATGTATGTTTTTTTTAAATGTATCTATGTATCTTTGTGTGTGCATGCATCATGTATGTATGTATGTATGTATCTATGTATCTATGTATCTATGTATATATGTATGTATGCATGTATGTATCTATTTCTTTATGTATCTATGTATCTATGTGTGTGTGTATGTATATATATATATGTATGTATGTATGTATTTAATGTAATTAATGTAATTCATGTAATTAATGTAATCCATGAATGTAATTCATGTAATTAATGTCATTAAATGTAATTAATGTAATTAATGTAATTAATGTAATTAATGTATGTATGTATGTACGTAAGTACGTATGTATGTATGTATGTAGGTATGTATATATGTATGTTATTTTGGATATAATTAAACATAATCCACTTATTAGTGAACTGCACCTTCAAAGTTTGCAATTTTCTGCAGGTTCGTGGAGCTTTACCGCGGAGTGGGCTCGGCGCTGTTGAAGAGCACCCTGCGCCCCGGTGATATTTCGGTGGACGGCGGACAGCAGTGGGCACCTAGACCACTGGAGCCTTTGAGCCCCCATTTTTTTAGGTTAGATGGAAAAATATCATGGAAACATGTGATATCTGATATATATATATATGTGTGTGTGTGTATACACATATAGTTATATGATATATGTTTTATATGTGGAAAGGTGATTGTCAACAAAGATTTTGAGGTAATTTTATCAGTTTTTTTTGGGGGTAAAACACTGGTGATGAGAAATTATGCAAATTTATGATAGCCACCGTCACGTCTCCATGACCAGTGTTTTCAAAATCGGAGTAATTGGGGTATGTATGGTTGGATTCTCAAAACTGAAGGGCCCAAAAAAAACACAAGTTACTTAAGCTACTTGTCATGTCTTGTGTTGCACGGAATGTTCTGATTTGAAGGGTCCCGGGTTGGAAGAAGCACCTCATCAACTCCCAGAGGCGAACCTCATGGAAATTGGTTATCAACCCTATGGTTTTACTTCAAGCACATGTGTTTTTGGGGGGGCGATTTGGGTCCGTCATGGCCATTTTGGGGCGTACTGTTTTGGAGGTTTTGACCCACCAAGATCTGGGCCTGCCAAGATACAGTGGGGGTGTAGGGGTCATTTGGGTTCCAGGGAAAGGTTCAGGGGGCTCCAAAAAAGATGGCCTTCCCACCTAGCACAAACAATTTGAGTGGATGGGTTGCCAAATGGCAACACCTACTTCATAAGGTCTGATGAAATCAATGCGAAAACTGGAGCATGTGCAAGACTTCCAATCAGAGGGAAGCCTAAGTTGCTGTCCCGAGGCAAAGTGCTCTCCTCTACATGGTAAAGGACCAGGTAGAGTTTAGCGTGGAAAGGCTCTTCAGGTTAAGTGCAGAGGCGCACCTTCTCCGGCATTTTGCGTTTGGACCATTTTTCACTTAAGTCATTATATTATATATGTATATATATATATTTAATGGGCGGATAAGAGAAGTGGTTTTCCGCGCATTGGTCGCTTGGCACAAGTTGCAGTTGTTGACACATGTTGACACATGTTGACGCTCCATTGAGAAGTTGTTGACACATGTTGACCCTCCAGGGTATGATGGATGGCGCCAGTCTTCGCATATAATATATGTGATGTATTATTTCCATTTGATTCGCGAAATTGCAGGCATTGGAACGACCAATCCATCAGTAAACTCAACATCCATCAGAAACCACCAAAACCATAGAACGTGTAAACCCATCAATTGATATCATTTGTAGAATATTGTAGTAGATATTCCTTGCAGAATTCATGGATGATTTACAACCACGATTCTGATTTGCTGTGCACTGTACGGTACTGTATGTTTACCAGATTAATGCATTCACTATTGCGGGCTGCTCTCAAACTTGCTGGCGGACTTTGGCCATGCAATACGTAGTCGTGACTTCCACACCAAACACAGTTGCGCACCCTGGAGGTTTATTCCCAATGTACCGACTTTGTTTGTTTTTTTCGCCATTATATAATCATGGCCCTCCCATTGATTGCTCTTGGTCCTGGGTTAAGAATTAGCTGCTAGATGCTGCTAAAGATTTTGATAGATGCTGATGTCACCTCACTTGGGGTTCCTCCCAATTCCTAGGTACTACCCTCTGATTATTTAACATAGCTACAGAAAGTTGCCTTTTTCAGTTCGCTACATTCAATACTGTAACCAGAGGGTAACAGTTTTGTACGATAAGATGCTGAAGAGCCTCCAGCCTCCAGCCGTTTTCGCAGGGCTTCTACCGCAAGACGGGACAACTGAAGCTGGGCGGCTTCTCCGGCCGCCCCTTGGCCTCTTGATCTTCCCAGCTGTCGGTGGCAGCCGTTGTCGGCCGTTGTGGTCCCATGGTGTTCCAAGTGCGCCAAATCATCCTAAATTAGACCATTTTAGTATTGAAACCCATGGTGGCTTGGGGGATCCCCCATTTGAGAAACCCCCATATTTGATAGATATAGATGACAGGCTGACGGGCTGCTAAGCATAAACATAGCAAATCATATTTGATGCATTATGCTTTGTTTGAGAAGTGCTTGGGACTTGTAACATGCAATGTGAAGTCGATGTCTTTGGCCATAGCCCAGCTGTCACCATTGCCGGCTCCGGGCTGTTTCCTTGGTGTGCAGGCCGGTTGCGACCATGATGTGCCAATACATATTATATAATACATAAAACACTACTCACTACTTGTTTGATAATTTGCGTATGGGTTTTATTTTCAATCTTTGCTTTTATTGGCAGTGGCAGGGATGCGGTGCTTTGTCTATTCTTTCTTCAAGCAGCCAGGGACAGAGGCTTCATTCTGCTTCCGTCAGAGTTTCAACTTGGTCAATGGATGTGCGGCAGCTCACAGGAAGCAACTTATGCAAAAGAGGCCAAGTAAGTGACTTGATTTACATATATTATATTCAAATCCTTTTTATGTTCAAAACGGATCCAGAGATCGCGATCCACAAATTCCTGCTTGTTTCGAAGGCATGACTCAATCACAAACCACTTTAGAGAGGTGCTTTCAGGGAGCTCATGTAGGAGACACGGAGAGGAACTCTGAGGCTCTCCCTGTTTCATTGCAGTTGCTTGGTGCGAGAGGAAAAGATGGCGGTGCAGCATGGCTTAATCGGCTAATTGCCTTCCAGGAGCATGGGTTGGTCATGTCGATTTGGGGCCTTGCAGCTGAATTTTTGCAATGTTTGGGCTCAGAGTAAGTTGCAGATGCTTCAAACGAATAGAGACCCGCATGCAGATGATTGCACATGTTATGGTTGACTTCGGTGCAAAGTGCCAGAGTCGTTCACAAAGGTTCCAAGATTCCTGAACGAAGCTTCATCTGGAACATTCTTCCTCCAAACCCATTCAACATTCCATTTCCACCAGATGCATGGCCAGCTTGTGGTCCGCCATGCCGGGCAGTTCTTCCAGGCAGCCCATAAGATCCCATAAGTTTCTGTATTTGCTGCAATTGTACCTATAAAATCCTATAAATACCTATGATATCTTATAAGCATTATAAGCAACATCTACAAATAAAACATCTATGAATAAACCTTCCGTCAGGCGGACAGTTTCAACCTTCAGATCATCCTCATCCTGGCTGGTGATTCCCATTCTTGACCAGATTACATACTTAAGCATCTATCGCTATAGATGTTCCTAGGCTTTCAAAAATGGATGAGTTCAATAGTGATCCCAATCCATCCAACACTAAAGACCTGAAATTTTGGCAACCACAATATACATACATACACACATACATACATACATACATACAAACATACATACATACATACAAACATACATATATATATATATATACATACAAACATACATACATACATACAAACATACATACATACAAACATACATACATACATACAAACATACAAACATACAAACATACATACATACAAACATACATACATACATACAAACATACATACATACATACAAACATACAAACATACATACATACATACATACAGACATACAGACATACAGACATACAGACATACAGACATACAGACATACATACATACAGACAGACAGCCAGACAGCCAGACATGCAGACATGCAGACATGCAGACATGCAGACATGCAGACATGCAGACATGCAGACATGCAGACATGCAGACATGCAGCCATGCAGCCATGCAGCCATGCAGCCATGCAGCCATGCAGCCATGCAGCCATGCAGCCATGCAGCCATGCAGCCATGCAGCCATGCATGCAGACATGCAGACATGCAGACAGGCAGACATGCAGACAGGCAGCACATGCAGACATGCAGACATGCAGACATGCAGACATGCAGACATGCAGACATGCAGACATGCAGGCATGCAGACATGCAGACATGCAGACATGCAGACACGCAGACATGCAGACATGCAGACATGCAGACATGCAGACATGCAGACATGCAGACATGCAGACATGCAGACTTGCAGACATGCAGACATGCAGACATGCAGACATGCAGACATGCAGACATGCAGACATGCAGACATGCAGACATGCAGACATGCAGGCATGCAGGCATGCAGCCATGCAGGCATGCATGCATACATGCATACATGCATACATGCATCCATGCATCCATGCATCCATGCATCCATACATCCATACATCCATACATACATACCATACCATTCCATACCATATCAACATGCATGCATGCATACATGCCTACCCTACCCTACCCTTCCCTGCCCTGCCCTGCCCTACCCTACCCTACCCTACCTACATACACACATACACACATACACATACACATACACACATACACACATACACACATACACACACATACACACATACACGCATACACACATACGCACATACACACAGAACATTCATACAGACAGACAAACAGACAGACAGGCAGACAGACAGACATACAAACGCACAGACACACAGACAGTGACACATAGACGCACAGACACATACACAGACATACAGACATATATACATACAAACATACAGACATATAGGCATACAGATATACAGACATACATACAGACACACAGACAATCACAGACATACAGACATACAGACATACATATATAATCATATACACTAAGGTACCTAGCACACCTAACATACCTAACATACGTAACATACACACACCAAAAACACGCTTCTTTTCACTACTTCCAGGGTGGGTTCCAAGGTTCCAAGGTTCCAACAAGGCAGGGGTCGACCCCCGCAGGCTCCGGAAGACTTCGCTTCTTCGGAGCTGACGGCGGGTGAATTGCAGGTCTCGGTGCTTCTCTTTGCTGCTGGTCTCACTGATAGGAGCTGCTGGGATGGATGGGGGGTCGATGAGTTCAAACAATAGATGGTAGATATATATGTAGAAATTTATACGTTATATTGTGCATACTGTATATATATATATACATACATTTATTATTCATACAGTTACTTGTGTGTATGATTCAAACCAATTTTGGACCTCATTCAAAAGACGACCTCATCTCTATATCATGGAGGAATTTCATGAACCTCAAGTGTCATTTCAATTCATTTCATGAGTTCAGTCCTACCAAGATGATATGTCATTGTCACACCCAATATAAAAAACACACACGCATGTATATATATACATAATATTATGATTTTACATTTATATATACATCATTGCCTTTGACTAGGAGTGGACACCCAACTGTGCCCGATTTGCTTGCATTGAAGCAGCTTCCAGCAGCCCTGCCGGAGGCAGGGTCTACAAGTGCTCCCTTCAATTTATTGTATTTCGTACAGTGGTAAATTCTAGGATCAAATTTGATGCGAAACAGCGTTTCTAAGCTTTGAGGGTTCGCCATGCGATGCCAATCAGTTTTCGTTGCCAGCCTCAAACAGCATGTAATCAATTATCATGAAATCGTTTTTTATTTGATGACCAGGTTTTGGTTGCAGTATGTATTGCCCTTGATCCAACTAACATATACCCTGTCAATTGGAGGTTTGGACGACTTCTTTACGTTGGTTGTTATGGGCATGATTTCTGTGGTCCATGTTGGCCGGGGGGTGATTACTATAAGTACTGTAGTTGCACTGCACTATTTTCAATCTTGAGTTTTCGTTGCCGCTCCATCCATCCCACGAGGCTTCATGCGAATTCCGCCTGTGGTGTCAGATGATGCCCTTGGAGTGGAGTCCACAAGCTGCAGGGCGAGATGATTGGCCAACAGGGGGTGGTGCAAACGTTTGCAGACAAGAACTGGATGGTCCAGTTTTTAACACCAAAATGCCAGAAAAATAGGGAGATGAGAACATGGTTTTGACAAATGAAACCTTCTACATGAGACGCCACACCAACAAATGCTATTCTATGTATGTTTGGGCGTGTTCTTTGGGTGACTACCAACACGCAACACTTCGGAAGTCTCCATTTAATCACGTACCTCATGGGTGCCCATGAAATGGCGAAAAGGCGAAATCAAGGGATAGGGTAACGAGAGATGATCAAAGCCTTGTCTCCTTAGATTATTGATCAAAGATTGCATGGGCATAGACTCGTTGTACGATCACCAATCAACAACCTACTATACCCACTCGTAAGTAGTGACATGTATCATCAAAAACTAGGTTTGGGTTCCAGGGTTCCAGACTGCCTAACCAAAAATTGTCGTAGATATTCTGGCGTTTGTTTGGGGAAGTTCTTTGTTGGTTCTTTGCCGCTTCGCAGCTCCGAAAGGTGATACCATCCCGTGCAGGCAGCAGGCTCCGAATGGGCTCACAGATATATTCGAATGACCGTCATACTAGAGGAAGAAACAACATACGTTGTATGAAGCCTTACGATGCTTTACATAACTTTACGTCTTTTTTTTTGGAGGTCGATTGATTTTGACCCATTGACATCTCAAAACCCCTTTGCTTTGAGTGTGATCAGTTCATGGAAGAGATAGTTCAGTTTTGTTACTCCCATCATTGGCAAGTCAGGCGCAAGTTCTTGACTTGCGACGTCGCAAGGCGAAGCTGCCCAGTCTCGGACAGTTTTAGTGAAAGACATGGCGACTCCAGTGGTGAATGGGCTGCAACATGTGCACGTTGACAAGTTGACAGTTGAAGAATGTTGAATGATTACTTCTCGGGAATCAAACACATGGCAACGGAAAATCCAGATTAACAGATAAATTTCCCAGTTGAATGATGTTAAATGTCCATTTATGTTTGATTCCCACAGGGTAATCCAACCACTGAAGTGCAAACGCCCCGGCTTCGCAGAGTGGTTCGCGCTGCCAGACGAAGTTCTGCGACTTGGCCGAAGCTTGCCACGACAGAATTTGGATCAAGATGGCAAAATAGCTATCCAGTGGTTAGGAGGGAGCTGAGGAGCTATTGGTATCTATATTCCCTGTTAAAATGGGGAGCCAAGGAGCTACTAAGAGTTTTCCAACCACATGATAGAATGATAATTATCTGATAATTTGAATGAAGAGAGAGAAGTGGAAGGGGCCTTGTCTCCGTGTACTCTTCAGCATGCCTCCACTCACAAGATTGAAGTAGAAGGAAAGCTCCGTTGCTCGACATCTCACCCAAGGCCCAAGGACTCTAGTTGAGGATCAATTAGTTGGTTCAATCATCACTTGTGATGCTGTTTGACTGACAAATCATCTAAAAATGAGAGGGGGTTTCATGTTTGATTGCCAGAGGGTATGATTCCTTGCTTCCTTGCCCGTACGAACCTCCCACCCAGGTGGAATGTAATTGATGACTGTACGTATATTTGTTATTATTTGTTCATCTATGGGGTTGCCATTTTTCGGGAGGTTCATTTAATTGTTTTTGAATATTTTTGGGTAGACTCAGAATGTATGCAGCATGCATGATTCCCATTTTTATCCCTCTATCACAGTTGGCCCATTTTTATCCCTCTATGATCCTCTATGACAGTTGGTTTTGGTGTTCTATCATATGTCATCACCATTGTGTAGTTCATTCACACCCATTGTTTGGTCCAGGCGTTTCTTGTGTCACCCGTCCTCCAAGGCACCCGATGCCAGCAGCTGGCGTGGCTGGGCAGCGATCGAGCCTTTGGAGACCAAAATGGGTAGTCAACACATGTAAAATCACCATTTTTTGTAGTAGTAGTAGTAGTAGTAGTAAATAAATCATCTACGACTTCTGTTATAGCTCTGGCAACCACCATTGAAAATCATTTTAAGTAGTAAATAATCTATGGCCATTGGCCATCTTCCATAGCTATATAAATTGCCAGAGGGTATACATAGAATTACATAGATATATCATGATATACAACTATGATCTTAGATCCTAAACCATGTTACATCTATTTGCTGTTAGCACATGCGTAAAATGACGCATGCTACCCACCCGACTGGTTTTCACTGGGTATCACTGGGATCAGGTCAATGCACAAAGTAACGCTTCGATGGCTCCGCTTGAGAAAGGACGGCAGCGACCTGCTGGTCACCGGCATGGGACGCTCCCATGAGGCCCATGTGTGTAGGCCATGGGAAGGCCATGGGATTGTTATGACATGTTTATGACATGGGATTGTTGGTTTTGTTGCGGTTCTTTTTGTGAAAAACCTTCTGAGTCTGCACCAATGTAAGGAGGGTATGTGCTAGGCCCTGTGGTTGAGAAATGTTGAGAATTCATTTCGCGCGCATTCTGTCCCAGACTAACATATTCGTCGAGCACTCAAATGAAGTTCACCCAGCCATTCGTTTCCTGCACACCTGAGCTTGGCAATTTGGTTTCAGCTTTGGTGAAGCAGACGTCATGGATCAAAGCATTATGACAGGCACGATACACGTAGAGAAAGACTCTAACATCCAGCTGTTCCATAAAAAAATCGGTGCGTTCTGATCGCCCAAGGGACTGACATAGAACTTGGTAATCCCAGCTGCTCAGGATACCCCTCCTTCAAGCCGGCAAAAAACTGGTTCAAGATTGCTTTTGTGGTAGCAGTCTGGGGCACAATCACAGACTAATAGTCAACAGCATTCAACAACCCTTTCTTGCCAATACAATACAGTACTTAGATGTACTTAGCACTTAGTACATCATAGTGCTGTGTTTGACCAGGTTCCACCAGCCACAACCCATGTAACCCTGTGTGTGTGCCTCGCCCTCTTGGGCCGTGTGTGCCATGCTGCAAGCGCTGGGTGACTTCGAGCGCCTAAATGATGGCGACTTTGGGGACTTTTCGGACGGCGGGTCTGCGCAGGAAGCGGAAGATCCGGAAGAGCCTTGGCTTTGCTGAAGATGCATGGTATGAATGGTTGGAAAATGTAGGAAATCCATGGAAATCCTCAATACTCAACAATAAATGAATGGTTTTTGTGGAAAATCATCTATCAGGGAATCTATAGGAGAATTCTAAGGGAAGATCCAAGATTTTGTCATTTTCCCAATGAGAAATCCACTACTTGGGAAATCTGTAGGGATATCTTTTTGATTTTTGGGCGTTGCTGATGGGCAAATCCAAGGAGGGGTTTAGCAACCTGGTGGATGATGCCAATGCCATCCTTCTGGAGGACTGCAGGGCCTGCGGATTCTTGGGGGGCCGGGATAGGTGAATAATGGTGATGTGGAACGTGATGTGTGCGATTTTCTTTGTTACTATTCTTAAGTATTCTGAATCCGTTCACCGAAAAATACAACAAAGAAGCTTGATATGAGCTTGATGTGGGAGGATTTTTTTTTCACAATATCTTATACACACATCATCACACATCAATAGTTGGAACATAACCCAGTCATGACAAGTCTATTGGGTGGCCGGGATTCTCCCAGACGGGTCGAGCAACGAGGACACGGCGCGCAACGAGCGCCAGGCCAAGCGCAACCTGCGGATCCGTGGGCTGCTGAAGACCTGGCGCGACAGCGCCGAGACGGCGCCCAAGCCGACGAAGATGGACGCTGGCCATAACCCATGGGCCATGGCGGCCATGGCGGCCATGGCGGCCATGGTGATGGCTTTGTGGGTGAAATAATGTTATTGGAGTAGTTATAGAATGTTATAGACTATAAGGTGCTATAAGTTAGAACATGTTATAACTATAGATATAAAATAATTATCATATATATTATAAGAGTTTGGAAGCAATGAAGAAATGGTAGTTGGAGTTGTTAGGCATGTTTGGGCTGTTGGTTCATGGTTTTAGTAATTAGTAATAGCCGTCAAATCAGAAGGAAAAAATAGTTGCTATAAGAATTGCATAGGTCTTTTTTGCGGTAACCTACGCTTGGGCCATTGGCGTTAGAACCTGGGATCATAACATACTTTTTGGATCTTTTTGGGATGGCTCTCGGCATCTCTCGGCTCTAGTATTGCGATTAAGCGACAATTGGGTTGTATTGAGTTTTTTTAACTGTACCTGATGGGGCTAAAAATATGTTCGTGGTTGGTTGGGTTGGATTGGGTTGGGTTGGGTTGGTTGGTTGGTACTGTAAACTGTTTGGGGAAGAAGCAAAAAATGGTTTCCAGTTGGTAAACCAAGCAATGTCCCAAACTGGAGAGTTTGCATTTTCTGGTGTTGATGTGGTTTATGATTAACAATGATTAACAAGTTAATGCAGTTTGGTAAACCAGGTAAACCCAGTATTATACCACCACCGAATAAAATAGAAATTGTTGGGTGATGGTTGCAATGCTGGGCTAAATTGAAGAATCATACCATGTGTTTGTTGGGTGGGCTATGGGTGATTATTGTTAAGGTTGGTGCCGGTTTGGACATACCAATGCGTATCAATGGGCTGTTTACCAACCGCCCAGTGAATTGGCAAATATATATATATATATAGATAGATATCGATCATTTCATGGGGCTTCTGTTTTTTTGCCATGTATTTCTTGAAGGAGTCAATTAGATGGACTTGGGAACATGTATATGCCCGTTCTTTCAAGATAATCCAATAGCCATGCCAAACCATTGATTCTTCAATAGTGATGTTTAGAAAGAAACTATCCTTTAAAATGCATTTCAATATCTATGAGCCCGTATGCAATGACTTCAAAACAAGAGTGCGTCAGGCGCCCTGTTGGAGGTTTAGGTGGCTTTGCCAACGTTGAAATGCAATTGTTCATACATATGTTTTCAAGAACTAGATTTATTTGGTGTCAACCCCCCCAACAGAAACAAAGAAAAACAACAAACCTAAGTGTCAAGGTTTTTAAGAAGTTGCTTTTTGGTGTGACTCTGTGGGGGAGGGGGCATAGATGGATATAGATGGAAGCAGTCCACTACGATCCCACATGGTTTCCCAGTGGATTTGCTGCACCAAGGATGAGTTGGCCAAGGTTGCACAGGAAAAGGCGCCATGGAGAACGAAACGGCAAACCAGTGGGAATTTCTCGGAAACCATGGTGGATGAGTTTGAATTCTATTTTCAGCCTTGAGTGAATGTTGCCCTATGCCGGTGCTGGTTTTTTTTTTCTCTTTTTTGTCTTGGGGCCCATCAAGGTCAGTGAGCATTGCAGCTGACTGGCCATTGATGGTGATGGATTCCATGGGAAGAAGCAAGTATGATGTACCCTCTGGTAAACTAACATAACTATGGAAACTCACCATTTTCAATGGGAAAATCCACTATAAATGGTCATTTTCAATAGCTATGTTAAATTACCAGAGGGTACTTGCTGGAGTTTGGACTGAGTTGGAAGGGCTTCGGTGATGTGGCTGCAGCTGTTGAATTTCATATTTTGGGATTTGACGTAAGTTGCAACGTCCATTAACAATATTAACAATCTAGTGTCAAGTAATATCATGAGATCTCATAAGATATCATAAGATTTCATTTGATAATATATGATACTACCATTCAACATTTGAATATCTTAAACAACAAAAAAAACAACATATCCCCCCACGGCGAGGCGCCCGAGTCGGAGCATCCTCCATGGCTTGTTCTCAGAGAAGCGCCCAGCGAGGTGCCGCCCCCTTTGGCGATCCACAAAACATCGTGAGATCATCATTTTGAGAACCAAAATCATCAACAAAAATAACCATGATGGTAGTGATAATAGTGATAATAAATGATAACATCATTGATAACATCATGAATAGTGATGATCAGAATCAAATAACAATGATCTCATGATAATTATGATGATAGTGATAACATCATTGAATGATAATCATGGTTAGAACATGATGATGATAGTGACAATTATGATGATTATTGCCATTCATAGTGATGCTAATACTGATAATAATGACAACATTGGTATAATGATATATTAGTAACAATAATGAAGAACATGCCAAACAGAACTGTGAAATATTCTGAAGTATTTGGCCGATTGATTCCGTCAACGCTTGCCTTCAACATACCTCCATAAAGCATCATAAAGCATAAATGTGTGGAAAATGACACATCGCATCCCAATCCCAGCATGTTGGTGTTTCATGGTGTTTCCCATCCATTTGGATTGTTGGTATTTCCACCCGGCACGGCTACCTTCGGCAGGCCACGTTGCGCTTGCACGAAGAGTTGATTGACTTCACAGAATTTATGCGACCCACGATGATTGAGGCCCTTTGGCACATTTCAGAAAACCTAAGAAATTCAACTAAAATGGGGTTTATAAAATGGATCTATAGCTGATTTAGCTAAGTTGGTGACAAATAACTCCATTTTTTTCCGTTGGTTTTAGGATACTTAAAACATCTTGAAACATTCTTGAAACATTCTTGAAACGATATCATGGGGGCTATAAACCAACAAACATCACTGGGGGCTATATCTGGGGATGTCCCGAGGCCGCTATGCGCGATGCCTGGGTGCATTCCATCGAAGATGCGGCCAAGTCTTTGTGGCCTCAGGCGTGAATTCTTGGAGCTACCCTGCGGTAATCCAACAAGACACCTGGGAAATCTCCCGTGAATGTGCCTTTAAATGGGGAAATCATCTAGTAATTTCTATTAATGGGGAATTCTCCGGAAAACCATGTTTTGGAATGTTTTTGATACATATAATCATATAATGCCCATTAATGCCCATTAATTATTTTCTGCCAGTTGTTTTGAGTTTGCTGACTTCCGCATGGTTGCGAACTCGTTGTAGGATCAGCCACAGCAGCCTTGAAACACGGCAACTGTGCTATTGTTTGGGAATGCTTGGGACATATCAACAGTGAATGAAACCCTTCAAAAGTAGATTTGGAGGATGAGTTTGCACTGGAACGTTATGGAACGTTCATGAATCAATGAACGTTCCTAATTTTTACCAGTTTTGCGGGTGCCATTCTTTTGTTTGCCTTGCCAGGTGCAGGTTCACATCTTCGGATCCACAGCAACGGCCCTGAATCTGCCAACAGCAGATATTGACATTGCCATTGTGAAGCTTAGTCCAACATAGTCCAACCAGACAAGATGGAAAAGATGTGAAAAAGATGGAGTTTCCCAGTATTTTCTCACATTTTTGATGATTTTGTCATTCCCAATTAAAACTTCTCATTGCCATATTATTTGTTGATATTTGTTGCCGTACCTTCAACAGGTTGATGGCCCATGATGGCCCCACTTGGATACTTGGTTGGCTGCTGAACATTTGCCGAGCAATGGGAGGGTAAACCTCCATGTGTGACTGGTAAACGATTATGTTGTTTTCTTTTTCACATTTTTCACATTCCAAAGAAAAACATTTAGGGACATGTTGGGATTGTATCATATTGTATCCCAATTCCTTGTCATATCTTGTCATTTTGCCCGCGGTTTGACCATGTTTTTTTTACGTCGTTAGGTTCCCACTTGAGGAACCTCACAGGGCTACGGGTAACGACGGCCATGAAGCAATTGGCCGAGCGATTGTTGGAGCGGCAAGAACTGAGCAAGGTCGAAACTTGTTTCGTCGCGACGGAGTAGCGGTTGGTTCAACGGGTTCAACCGTGAAATATGCGGAGGTTTCCATAGTCACCGGGGTACCCCAATATCGCTGGATGGTATCTTTATTTATTGGAAAATCCTATCTATATATGGATTGAAAAATTATTGAAATATGTGGAGTCCCACAATGTGGAGGTGTCCATTTTCCATTCCATTCCATCTATAAATGGGGCATTTTCCATAGCTATGTTGGTTTACCAGAGGGGATGGAGGTTTCCATAGTCTTGGCGGGGTACCCCAATAGCTGCATTGTTTCTTTGCTGGAAAATCCTATGAAAATGATTTAAAATTCATGATTTGGGGGTATCCCTATGACTTAGGAAACCTCCATATAACTTATGGTTTTTCAACCAGAATGTGAGTACAGCAATAATAAAGCACCCATATTTTGATGGCAAAATACCACCCATTTATGGTGAGTTTGGGGATGGTGGATCCTATTGCTTTACTAACATTAGTTGGGATGGGTTGAAGCGACCCGTATTTTTGGGATGGATTAAAGCCACCAACCAGACTTGGATTAACCATTACCCTCTGGTAATCAAAGCTGGCGTGCTGGAAAATCCTCCATCGATGATTTTCTCACCCAAAAGCCTCATGTATATTTTCCGGTGCCATGTTTGATTACCGGAGGGGTAACTTGGATTTGCTTACGTTTTTTTTTGGGGGGGGAGGGGGGGTTCCAATGGGAACCCCACGTCTTGGGGAATTTAAAGGGAATATATGATTATTTTTGGAGGGTTCTCCAAGCAAATCGTGATAATCAGAGGGATTCTAATATAAAGCATTGTATATACATAGAGGGTTTTGCCTATCAAGTTGGTTTGGTTTCGACCATTTAACGAGGATTTAATCACTACTGTATATCACTATAAAAATCAAATAGCGAGTTAATACACCAACATAAGGTTTCAACCACCAGTAGATGTGGATGTGTGTAAATGGTTATCAACCAGTAAGGTTTTGGCTAGTGAAGGTTGCTTCAGATATGTTGTCAATATAGATGAATCAACATGACTCGATCAATATGTGTATCATTTTGTATCCATGTGTAATACTGTACTGTTCACTTTTTATGGGTTCGTTACCATTAAAAAAGGTGGTCTTGGTGATTGTTACCATCGCTATGCTGCACTGTGCCGTCGCCAGCCCAAGTACTGGTGAAGAAATCATCGCCGCTGTAAGGAAGTGATCCAATCTGCGAAGGCGCTGACAACTGTTTTGTTCGCAGCTGGGGACGGTCAAGATATATGATATATATATATATATATGATATTGATTGATATGGTGTACTTTGGGGGGATGAACATCTATGAACATCTTTACCAGTTGTATCCAGTGATTTTTCAACAGCCGTCAACAGCCAGGGGCGCCAGGTTTCGAACCATAGCCATACACAGGTGCCGGTGATGAAGGTGCAGCAACGCTCCACTGGACTGATGGCCGACATCGTGATGAACAAAACCGATGGTATGGAGACAGCTGCTGGTTCTGGAATTGGTGAATTGGTGGTTTCATGATGTTTCATTCATTTGCCATATGCATCATATGCTTATTCTCGGTTAAGCTTTCCTTCTGAAAATTGGATGATGATCCAAATTATGGCTCAACCAGGCTGCGTTCATCCGAGAGCAGATCAGAATTTTTCCACCTCTTGCACCTTTGGTCTTGTTCCTCAAGCTCTTCCTGGCGCAGCGAAACCTTCATGTCTCTTGGGCTGGTGCCAAGGTCGAGCCTGGATTAATAAGCACGTGCTCGGTCTAACATCGGGCGGGTGCAATGAACTTAAGAACAGATCACTATTTGGGCATGCATAACCCTTCAACCAACCTGGGTCAGTAAAGTAGGGAGTCTCGGCAAGACTCCACAAACATTGTTTTTTTTTGGCTGTCGGGCCCTTTGACCATCAGTGAAAAATATACCCAAGCACCTGAGTTTCCCAAGAATTGAAGTTGTCGTTTTCGACATTTTTCAACAATTTCAAGTGCAACAATGTAAGGAGACGTACATGGGTGGCCTTGGATCTTATTTGCTGGTTTGCGTGGTCTTATCATTTCTGCAGCTCCATCCTTCTGCCCAATTCGCACGCGCTCATTCTGTTTCAACTTTGGGGAAGCTGCTGCTGGACTTCTTCCGCTACTATGGGCAGGACATCACTTGTCTTCAGATTGTCCTCCTTATCCATGAAAACATGCCGTGCCCAGGTTGTCTTGATCCAGGACTATGTATAGATTATGAGAAGTGGAAAACGGATCAAACAGAGTGCTTATATATATAATTATTGTAGTCATTGCTTTGCTTTCTTCTAGTTTACATAAGACCAGAAAGCAGTGCAATTCTGAGTTCTCAACCTCGAGGTCAGCGCACAACCAGCTCACTTCGGCTCAGCTAAAACCTATTGACCCCCTTGATCAGATTCCATGGCCAATTGTGGCTGCAATTTGGATCCTCAAAGTTTGAGATGTCAGGAGTTCCGCTATGGCAGCATGGGCATCTCGGTCTTGGACGGCGGCAGCCTCTTTGACCGAGAGAAACGGGGCTTCACCACACGGACGAGATCTGGTCAAGCAACACTATGCCTGGAATCGCCGGCAGATCCCAGTCATTTTGGCTTCGCAAAAGATATTTGCTTTCCACTCTGTTCAACTATAATATAATATATAATGTATATATATATATACTATTATAACACACACACACACTATTTATGGGATGATGTTTCTCAAATAACATGAAATGGCTACATGATTACATTTGGGATGGGTCGTAAACAACCAGTGAGGTGCCATTGTTTGACAGATCCGCTTCGAAGAGACCAATTGAAGACCCATGACAACATGACAGTCATGACATGATCGGGTCTTTGATGGTCGATGAAGTCAGCCTGACGGCTTCGCCAAGGCCTGGACATTGGCTCCCGTGTCTTCAAGATTGGCATTATTCGAGCGGCCTTCAACCATGGCTACCACGTTCTCTCCACGTTGTTTCTCTCCAAGGACCTGGCTCAGCAGGATACCCTGCTATTACCCTGCTATGATCTGTGGCAAAGTTTGGGTTACTTGGGGGCCAAATTTCATGGACTGATAGGATACACTTTCGTAGAAATGATTTTTTTGTTTCTTTCAACTGCATTTTTCGTGGCGTCTTCATCACATTTTCCATGTTGATTCTGCATGGCATTTCCTTGCAGGAGCCCATCCCCGGGTCCTTGTTGTGCCCGTACCTTCTGCGACGGGAGCATCCCGTGATTAGTCAGCGCTTCAGACTCTTCAATGAGCAACCAGCCCCATTCCTGGCCTCTCAGCTGCAAGAAAACATCCTTCCATGTGTCGGGTCATGGGCTTAAAGGATGATACCTCCTGTAAGCGAACCTGGATGGCTGGTGAACCCCAATGTTGAAAGTACATCAAACTGATGGTGATGGAGAGAGAAAGAGCGAGAGGAACCTCATTTGCCAATGGGCGATTGTGCCAGATACCAGACGGAGAATGTGACCTTGAAGACCTTGTGTTTCATTTTGTTCAACTGATTTCAACTGTACTACTCATATCCTACTCATCACTTTTCAAGTTTAAGCGCTGTTGGATATTTTTCAAGAGAGCCAATGGAGCCTTGGGGTTTGCATGCAGGATCTATGTAAACGGGCTACACTTCATGAATGACCACATGCAATTGATCTTTTGTCAACTCGGAATGGCCTCAAATTGCCAAGAATCTGTGAGATTTTTTTGTGACCACCAGATAGTGTCAACCGCCGTGTTTTGCTGGCTTCAAGATTGGAGTTTAAGCGAAAATCATCAAATTTGCCATGGCCAGCCGTCTAGCCAACATCATGCCATGATAATTCCTGAGATGTTCAAGTGAAGTCCACTCCCTGTGCCAGTTGGGGAACTATGGTACATCGAAAGCTGCACCCTGCATCGCCAGGAGTTGGTTGGCCGCCCTGAGAGCGATGACGAGAGGCAACCGCAGGAGCCCATCACCAAGAAGCGGCGACGTGACGAACACATGGCGCCACTGACGCTGAACGTGGCTTTGGACCCCGAACCAAAGGAGGTACAGGCGATGGGGTGGGGGTATCTATCCGCTGGGGATGGGCCAGTAGGCAGGGGTGCAGGTTATAGGCAGGAGAATAGATAGCACATTATATTACAGGATGTAAGAGAATGGATGGGGGTTGCGGGGTTGCTGGGTCACTGCGTCAGTGGGCATAAAGAGAATTCCTTTGGGACTTTGGGAGGCATGCAATGGAGACAGGGGTCTTTGAGCTGTGAACTCTACGCATCACAATCACAAGCATGATTATCATGATTATGCTTGGATAATGCGCAATTGGTATCAATTGGTCCCATGATGTCCCATGTAGTGTCTGTCTAGTCCCTGACGGGGGAAGTGGTGCAGGTGGAGGCCACCAAAGAAGTTGCGCCCCCAGAAGTGGTTGAACCGGAGATGCCGGAGGAAAACGAACCGCTTGGAATCGTGGAGGAGATTGGAGATGCTTTAGAGCCTTGGAAGTTGGATGATTTTTACATCTGCTTAGAATATAAGTGGCGAATGGTGGCACTTCCTATAGACATCTAAAGTTTATAAGTTTAGAAGTCTATAAGCCTATAAGTCTATAAGTCTATCTATTTATCTATCTATGTATCTATCTATCTATTTATCTATCTATCTATCTATCTATCTACCTATCTACCTACCTACCTATCTACCTATCTACCTATCTACCTATCTACCTATCTACCTATCTACCTATCTACCTATCTACCTATCTACCTATCTACCTATCTACCAATCTACCTATCTACCTATCTACCTATCTACCTATCTACCTATCTACCTATCTACCTAATCTATCTATCTATCTATCTATCTATCTACCTATCTACCTATCTACCTATCTACCTATCTACCTATCTACCTATCTACCTGTCTACCTGTCTACCTGTCTACCTGTCTACCTGTCTACCTGTCTACCTGTCTACCTATCTACCTATCTACCTATCTACCTATCTACCTATCTACCTATCTACCTATCTACCTATCTACCTATCTACCTATCTACCTATCTATCTAGCTATCTAGCTATCTACCTATCTAGCTATCTAGCTATCTAGCTATCTAGCTATCTACCTATCTACCTATCTACCTATCTACCTATCTACCTATCCTATCTACCTATCTACCTATCTACCTATCTACCTATCTACCTACCTACCTACCTACCTACCTATCTATCTATCTATCTATCTATCTATCTATCTATCTATCTATGTATCTCTTTCGATCGATCGATCGATCGATCGATCTATCGATCTATCGATCGTTTGATCTATCTATCGATCAATCGATCTATCTATCTTGCTATCTATCGATCTATCCATCTATCCAATATGTCTATAGACCATTTATAGACCTAGATTGTACAAAAAGCTGGTAGATGTGCCGGGGGGGGCTAACTTGCTGCCCAACTCACTCTAATCAGTGACATTCAATGCAAGCTTTGGGACACTTCACTGGCTGCTCCACGTAATCAGTTTTCCCTGCTGTGTCCAAAGATGTTTTGTGGTTTGGGTACAGTGTGGGCCTAAAGTGATCACCACCTGCCTACGATGACTAAATAACTACCTTGATGGTTCGACAGTTCGACTAGTACCCCAATATTGATCCATATTTCTATGGATCAAAACCTAGTATACAGATGTATACAGTATACATTGTAATGTACCATGTTCGGAGGTGATAAACATCCACGCCTATTTTGCGGTTCACCAGGAGTACAGGGTTTTGACCCATCCCCATGAGGAATTCCTGGCCGCTGCGGAGAGCGGCGGCGTTGATGAGGACGCTGAAGATGTTGCCGCAGACGATGGCTATGGCATTGACGAGGCAGATGAGGGCTGGCTAAAAGTGGTGGACTCCTCTATGCCTACCATTAAGTTGCAAAAAATATATTGAATCTCTTGATGTTTTGTATCCAGTATATAATAGTATGTGTTTATATACAATTTCATGATCAATGATCATAGTGACAAATACGCACACGAATGGGAAGACACGGCATGTAGGATGATAGATGATATATGTGACCCGCTGGTTGTGTCTCTCCAGGCAGCCCTGGAGGCCGAGATTGAGGACCCGCATACATCTGCAATGCATGATTCATTCCCCTAATGAATCTAACAGAATCTAACAAAAAGTAGCTAATGAATCTCAATGATAGTTACTCCATGAGAAGTGGTTCAGTTGGGGGTAGTTATCATTATCGATGGGTTCTGGGTGCTGGACATGGACACGGCAAATGTTGGCGATGCTAAAAAATAATTATGATTATTGTGTCAAGACTCGTACCAAGATGTTTCGCATTTTCGGTTGGACATGTGGCTATATTTTTTTATTTGCTTTACGCGTTTGGTTGCAATGTCGTGCTTGCACCTTCTTCGTCCTTTCTCGTCAATGTCGTGTGCTTCCAGCACTTCAAAGCAAAATGTTTCTTGGGTCTTCAAAATCCAAACCTATGTCCAGCCATGCTTTCTTGAACCTCGCCCATTTTTCCGCAGTAAGTTGATATACAATATGGGTTTATTGTTACCCACCCAAAGATCCCTAAAGTGATTGGCTAAGGCTTAATTCTTCAATTTCCTCCAAAATCCTGGTTTTGTTGGTGCCCCCTTGGTGCTTTCCTTGGTATCGGCCAGGAAGGGCTACTGGACCTGGACCCGGAGATGTTGGCAGAGGAGCAGCGCAGGCTTCAGGAGCAGATTCGGAAGTTGGAGGAGGCCACAGAGTGGGATGACCTCTGAGGCGGGGACCCATGGAGGGACACCGGAGGGCTGCGATCAGCGCGGCCATGGCATGCCATGGCCATGGGATTTTTGGGTCATTTGTAAACGGACTGAGGGTGATGGATAGTTTTCGTTTGTTCTAATTCTATAGATGGTTTGTTAATGTTTGTTTTACGATCCAATGGAAAGTGCCATGAATGGGGGTATGTGATGATATGTGATGATTCGTGCTCACTAGCAAAAAAACATCAAAACACGATGCGGTGCATCTGAGATTAAACATTTTTTGGAATTGTTTGGGAAGGAGAGAGATATCCCCAATCAATATGGTGAAAGATGGGGAGCTATTATGATGACTTGATTTGGGTGTATCCGATATTTTTGGACAAGGTCCTGGGGTAAATTTGCTGCCAAACCTCCCCGGGTACTGTAGTCATCAGGGGATGGATGAGAATGGATCTGGGTGAATCATGAACGTCATTCGCGCATGTCACCCTGAATGATAATGTAGAATCAACACGCACACACACACACACGCACACGCACACGCATATTATATTATATTATTAATATATATATATATGTATATATATATATATGTGTGCGTAATATGTGTACATAAGATAGAATATCCAGCCACTTCAGGCCCTACCAACAATGAGCCGATTGATGCACCAGGCCGCCTTCCCGACATGGTTTTTATCAAAGTTTTTGCTCATCAAATCCTCAGGAAAGCCGGCTTTTGTGAGTTCAACCGTTCAACCATCACTTTCACCATTGAGCAGAGAATCATTCTTTTGAGTGGTTGAATTCGAATTCATTTGAATTCCACTGTACTGTTTGAGGGTGACTGACTCACCATGTTTGGTCATATGTTTTGATGCTCCGTTGCGAGCCCATGGCAGGCTCCACCATGGATACCATGGAGCCACTGCAGCTTCGGCTACTGTTGGCAAAGCTCCGACATGCTCTTGAGGGATCCAGGGCTTTTCACAAGAAAGTTTGAAGGCCTTCCAGTGCATCTCATGAGCCAAAAGAGCGTTTGATCGCCTGATTGGGATGGTGGCGAGAAGGATTGCTGAATGGATATTGAAGAGATTTGAAGAGTGTCCATGAGTTTTCCAACGGTTAGTTCACGATCTTGGCACTGCCAAAGTTGTGTGAGAGACTCGGTGTTGCTGTTTGGTAATCAAGCATGGCAAATGTTTCATGACTGGAGGGTAAGGCCCCCAGTGCTGGCCATTCTGCAGGAGGCTGCAGAACAAGAAGCTGCAATGAAGGCTGCGCCGGAGGGCTGCTGAATCTGGAGAAATCGCCCGGTGTTTCCGTGTTTTTTCCATTTTTTTTGAAGATTGCATTTTAATGGCTAAATAACATAGATTAACTGATTAACTACACAAAATGATTTATGTGACCTGGATTTTATGTTGACCCCGCCATTCTTTCAAGGAGGTGGCATGATTTTGATCGTTTGCTTCTGTTTGAGATGGCATAGGAGGCGCTACAGAGTTCAGATCAAGACAAAGTTCCCTCGTTGCACAATCAATGAAAATCAATGAAACATATCAATCATATAATGTTATGATGTCAGTAAAGCAATAATAAACCACCTCAACCCCCATATTTTGATGGTTTATACCCCCCATTCGTGGTAAATTTGGGAACGGTTTACTGTGGCTTTACTAACATTAGCCCGCATGTGCCCGCAGTGTCCCTGGAAAACACAAGAAATTTTCATCCACGCTGGCAGGCCGCAAATATGCCACTAGTCGTCAATATTCGCTACGAGAAGAGGTTGCAGCCACAGTTTAGTGCCACTGGTCCTGTGAAATCGACTGCCTCATCACTTCATAGTTCAATTCAGCAGGATTCAGCAGGATTCAGCAGGATTCAGCCATGGTGTTCGAAAAGTGGTTGAAGAAGTAGCCAAACATATAACATATTCGAAGAGAAAGACGTATGCACTTTGGCTTCAGGATTGCGCCCATTGTGCTGCCGAAGGACGAGCAGAAGGCCAGGAGATCCTAGGACCGAGAAAGCTCTGGTTGAAGTGAAAGGCTACATGTTTTAATAGCAAGTCATCAAAATTTTGGTATCGCCTATATAATTTATCTGGGGTTTGCTGTATCATTTTGGGGCTGACATGGAATATCTGAACTAGAATAGTGGGAATGGGACGAGGGGTGGCGATGGAGAGAGAGAGAGAATGGGACGTGGGGATACCAGTACTTGTTGCCAATGACTTGGGAGTTTGGAGTTGTAGATTATTTCCCAGATCTGGAGTTTGTGTTACTGTAACAGCCCAGCAGCAGTAGAATTAGTTGTTACCCAAACGTTTTGGCCAGAAAACTGGTCTCCATTTTCAGTGTGCATATCGATAGTTGAAAGTGGCTTTGGCACATGAGAGGGACATATTTATGGAGATGTGTGTTCCATTTCAAGCGTGTTTGGTAGAACTTCAGCTTGAGAGATTGCAAAGGAATCATACCCTCCAGCAAACTAACATAGCTATAGGAAATCCACCACCATTTAGATGTTTTACCTACAAAAAATGTGATTTTCGATAGCTATGTTGGTTTACCAGAGGGTATCCACGGTGCAGTGTGAAGCATCACGACCAGGTGAGCGTTGGCGTGTGCGCCCTAGCTGTCTCAATCATCGTCAAGACTGCACCGACGAAGCACTGGTTGATAAATGGCAGGGTTCCAGAGAAAGTAGTAATGAATCACTGTTGAGTGGTACCCCCCGTATACATCAAGCAGGAAATACAGGGGTTGGTAACTGTCCCATTTTGGGAATATTGGACATCACCTTATAGTAGCCATTATAGACCATATACCTAATGGTTGGGTGATGTTCAATGGGGACATTTAATGACCCAGGAAATACCAGGAATCAATATTCAACTTTGAAGAACATCATTAATCCAATTGATCCTGAATCAGCTCAGCGATGGTGGTGGTCATTGAACTGGATGTCCTTGGTTGGTAAGGCATTTGGTCATCAATGGTGTCATATGCAATCGTCTCAAGAATGTAGAATTGCATTGGATCATTGTGTTTAAAGTTTAAAACGAATTAAGACCCTATATACATTCTGCATATATTGATGGCCATCACTTGGGCCGCCCTGTCTTGAGACAATCTTCAATGGCCATCATGCAATGGATGGTTTAATGCTCAAGAGATCTCAAAAGTGTTCTTTTTTTTGGCATCATTGCTTCGACCCGGTTGTCAAAGCCTCATTGAAACCAGTGGAAAATACCATGAAAAACAGTGGAATTCACCCCAATGACTAGAGCCAATGATGGCTTGCTGCCCAGGCTGCACTATTGTCCTTTTCCTTCCGCCTATGTGCGGCGCAGCGGTGGCAACGCTGTGCAGCTTGTCGTGCCATCGGCTTTATTTGGTCGCGGAGCTCTGCAAGTTGATGTTTGTGTGCAAGTGTGTTTTATGTGTTTTTTGGGGTGGGTGGGTGGTGTAGTAGTGCATGTAAATTATATTTCCCAAGTTATTTCTTATTTCATCACAAGAATTATTCAGAAATCATTAGTTTTCCCCACATATTATTTCTTCATGTTATCGGTAGAATCAATGAGTTTTCCCAGGATTTCATAAGGGCGCAGCGGTTCAACTTCTGTTTGACCACGGTCAAATGTTACAAGGTGGAGATCCCATCTCATGCCAAAAGCCAGGGCACCAAAAAAGTCCAAAAGTCAGGTAGCATAGTCAAATATGATTGGTTGAATGGATGGTTATTATTTATATAGTCCACCGATTATTGGGTTTCAAATGGTTGCAAGGTTTTGGTTGCTGCACTCTCTGTGGCCACAGCATGCGTGGCAGGGCGTCTCCAGTGCTGCGAGACGCATTTCAAAGAATTGCAGGAGATCCTGTTTCCAGCTGCACCAGCCTCAGTGACATCAAAAACGCAGGAGTTTCGGATTATTTCTGGATCTTGTGGAAGGTCTATAGTTCAGAAATCAGAACGGCATCAGCTGCAATGGTTTCCAATGTGCGGCAGTTACACGCGCTGAAAATAGACTCGCAGCACGTGTAGAGTGGTCCTGCCGCCAGGTGGTTCCTCCTGGAACATGTACTTTGCAGCTTTGGCAGGGTCTTTCGCAGCTGGACGCTGAGGAGGAGGGGACAAAAGGGATCAAAGGGGGGCCTATCTCAGGCCGTGAGGTTCTTGAGGATTGAAAGATTTGAAAGGAGTTCTAGTGCTTTGCTCCACAGCTGTGATCAGATGCATTCACAAATGCAAATGGTAGAAAGGGGCATGTCCAGCCAAATTGTACCTACTACATCCCCCGCTAATGTACCTTTATAGAATGAGTTTGTGGTCGTTTATGGAATGCAGTTTTGGGTATCATTCTATAAACCCAGATTTGGGGGGAATCGATCGGACCGGTTGGAACAAGCAAGTACATGAACCCTCCCTACTCATTCTATAAAACCAAGGTTTTGCAACCCTTTAACTCATTCCATAAAAGCCAAAATGCTCCAAAAAATGGATGTTAAATCAAAGTTAACCATCCTGGTAGATGCATTCCATAAATCCCATGGAGTGTCATGTTCGATTCGAGTAACAGACTTGTTTCGAAATGTTTGGACCAAACATGCACTTGAAATAGCATTCTATAAACCGACATGTCCTGCTGGCTTTCCTCCTGTTTTTTTACATGTAACTAGCCAATTCATTCTATAAAGTTAATTTTGGGGGTTTTTAACCATCGAAATCTGAGATCCTTAAACTTGCCGGACCATTCCATAAATATGCCTCAGATTCATTCTATAAAAAAAGAGCACCCTCAGAATCATTTTATAAACCAACATGTTTATAGAATGCAGTCAGCCACAGTCTAGGGCACATTCACGGAGGATCCTACTACATGCAGATGCGCATACGATGCATGTACATGTACATAATCATTTTTGGGAGGAATGTTGACTGCATTCCAATGACACCTATATAAATGTTGGAACAATTTTGGAACCATATTTTTGGGACATACTCCCCCCTTATCATCTCATATGTGCCATGGTGAAAAGCTGGATTGTATATGATTCTATACCGGGAGATGGCCATCAATCATCATCAGTCCATGAATGATTTCCACTGTGAGATGGTACAGCTGCTACAGCCACAGGACCTTGAAGGGATCCTGCAATGCCGCAATGCTGTTACAGCCTTGGTGGCCAAGGTGGCGAAAGGGGGCTGGGGCTAAGCCCCCACACTGGGATTTGATGATTTGGAGCACCAATTTTTATAGCAATTTCGACATGATTTTGGGGCAACTCCCCCAATCAAAAATCATCAAAAATCAATCGTCGGGGTTTACTAATGTGGAGTTGACATCGTCCAACAGAGGGATGTTCAACACGGTTTTTTGATGATTTTTGCACTGCAAGGTGCTGGAACACGGTAGAGGTCAACATAGCTAAGAAATGCATAGAGCAGGGGCATGGATTTTTCACATCGCAAACTTCAGAAGGTATTTGTTAAGCACTCATTGGCTACTGGTGATTCCATGTCAATTCAGGTCAGCTATTTGTGTGAAGCACAGGTAAACCCCAAGAGCCCGCAGTGCGCAGGGATAGAGTCCAGAACTTACGCCAAGGGCATGTTGGATGACAGACCGCTGGAATTGTCGTTTGGATTTGCCTCAAAATGGGGACAGCAAACAGGATTTTGGGGTGCAAAATTCGGAAATGATTCTTGGCCACTGAAAGCTGATGTTTATAGTTTATAGACTAGATGTTTATAGTTCAGTTGCATCCACTCATCTATTTGTCATGTCTCAGCTTCGTACTGATATTGCTCATTTCCGGTGGTGAAGCATCACATTTTTTGGGAGACGGAATTTCGACCAGTAGGAGCGATGCCATTTGATACCAATGTGTATGCTGTGTGCCCTGTGGTAATCTATAACAGTGTGCTTGAAAACCGATCGTTTGTAGATCATTTTTTCACGTGGCTCTTTTATTGGTATGCTGGTATGCTCCACTATCGAACAGAGATTGAACAGAGAAA